CATTGTTTGTTGTCTTACCCCAAAGATGCACATCTAGAGCAATTCTAATGGGATAGGGAAAAGTGCAGTTGTTTGGAGACAGTAATCTCCTTTTTGTGTTTAAGCATGGATCTACTCAGTTGTGCTTTATTAAGAAAAGTGACAGTTTATCCACTAAGCAGTATTCTTTGAAAAACTCTTCTCTGCAAGAAGATCACCTCCCTAACATCCACAATCCTTCACAGCCTCTGTTTTTTTCTGCAGACTGGGGCTACAAGGTACCATTTGAATTGCAAGAGCATGACTTGAAGTCATGAAGAGAGTGCTTGGTTTTGTTTTCCTCTTGGTAAGTTAGATTGTTGTATCTTGCCGCCCAATTACTTTTACTATTAAAACTAATTTAAGTTCTGCCAAGGAAGCTAAGCATAAGCAAAATAAAACAGGATCATCTGGTTCTTCTTTGCATAGGGGTAACTTGTCAAAGTCATGACAGATACTTTGTAAAACCACATCACACACAAAATTAGGTCCAATAAACAGTAGCTAAAACCAGATTTTTTTTCTTGCTTTGATAAAAGTGTACAGATTTTCCAGTTTCTAATTTTAGATGTATAAACAATAAATATTGTGAAAGCTTTTTATATTTTTTTTGAGTGGAGGAGGTGTAGTTAATATCGTGTTTTCTTATTAAAAAATCAGCAAGTGAGAGATGCTTATTATTTTCTTGACTGTTGTGTGTTTTGCAGTGTTACTATCTTTTGGGGTCTTGTTAAAGAAAACAAATAATTGATTGTCACTCAGTCCCATGTCAGTTCAGAGGACTTCAAGGTATTTATTGCTACAGAATTACTAATAAGTGCAATCAGTTAAACTTTATTTTGTGGCCTTTTAAGATTTTTGTTTTGTTTTGTGCCTGTGTGTTTTTTTATGTTATCCTTGCACTGTATATCTAAACTTTTACCTTTCTGTAACATTTCTTGTAATTAAGTGGTCTTAAGTGGCATGTCTTACTTTAAGGACTCTAAATGTTTTATGTAGAGCATAATGTTAACATTTTTGCAGGAAATATAAAACTGATGAATATCTGAATAAATTTATTTTCACAGTGTTTTTGACCATAGATTCTAATGGTGCTGTGGGTGCATACATGTCTAATGTGTAGTAGTAACACAGAATCCAGACAAATCAGTAGTTGACAGCATCCTTGAATGTGTTTTAGGTAAAGCCTTTCATTAGTGAAATGAGAAATGTCACTTCATGCACCATTGTAAAACTTTTGCCTCTGAATACTATAAAATGCCATGTGGAAAGTGTTCTTTTTCCACTGCCTGCTTTGCTCGTCTTTTTGAGTGGAAGAACCACAAATAAGTAGAGCTCTTAATAGCATGTTGAAGCTCTGGAGAACCCCTGTGGCAGGGCTGAGGTCTGGTGTGTCTGGGCAGGTGGGCAGTTCCAAGCCAGAGCAATTCAGTGCTGCTGAGGGAGTTGTATCTTATTTTTCCTGTAAAGACCAGAGAACCTACTGGACAATAACTGTTGAACAGTTGTCATAGTAAGAATTTTTTCTGTAATGGAAGATGCATTCAAGGTTGTATGTGTAGCCCAGATTATGTACTGTTTCTGTTTTCATTTTAATATTCTTGCATTAGACCTCAGTGCTTTTTCTCTGCTCATTGTTTCAGTAGGGAACTGAGTCCAGAAGACTTGTTTTTACATGTAAAGAAAAATGAAGAACTTGCTTTGTGCTTCCCTTAAACTTTTCACTCATTCCCTGGAAGCCCATATGGATAAGATGCAGGGATTGCATCCCTACATATCAAGGGATAATAGTGATAGGTAGCAACTAAAGTAAGTCATCATAACTCTTACTACATGATCAACTTTCTGCCAAAAAACTGAGAAAAACTTAAAAAATCCTCAAATTAATGAGAAAAACTGTAAAAAATGAGGGAGAAAGCAGATAGGCCACCCTGTATCCTCTGGGCAGTCTAATTGCTGGTATGTTAGGATTTGGATATAGGTTACTTCATGTATAGGAGTCCTTGTGGTGCCATTGTGGTGCCTTGTTAGTACAACCTCATTAAGTATGTATGTAACTGCATTACAGCTAAAAGTGAACATTTTAATGAGGGTATGCCAAATCACAGAGGCTGCAGTGAGTTTGCTGACTGCTTCATCAAACAGGCAATGGACAAAAATGCCTTTATGCCCTGGTCCTGTACTTACATGCCTGAGTTAAACATGTCCATGTAAGTGTTTGTGTGATGAGAACTAATGTCAACAAGTTTCTCTCTGCAGTGCTTGACCTGTGTTTTTTCTTGTAGAGAGAAGTAAGAAGGAGCTCAGTTTCCTATTGGATTTGGAAAACAGATTACTATCTCAGGATCTTCATGAGTTGTGACCTGGTCTTGATGCTGAGGCAGGGCTGGTCTTCTGTAACATGGATATCCAAGGAAAGACTGGCACCTACATTTTTGCCCCCCTGGTTGATTTGATTTCCTGAGCTCCTCAGGACTCATAGTGGTTCATAGTATAGATCTCATCTATTCCATCCCCTCTTCCTCTGCTCCCCTGGCAGATTTTCTCAGGTTTTCAGTTTAGAACCTCCTCCCAGGTTTTCACCACAAGTAGCAGGTTCTGGTACTGCTGCTTTATCAAGTGCTTAGCTGTTGGCAGTAGCTGGCTAGGAGACAAGTTCAATGAGTTAACTTCTCTGTGCTCTAAACACTGGTATCAGCTCAACATGACTTTTGTATTTTCCCCATGGACCAATCAGCCAATGTGCAGCAGCACAAAATGTATCTTCAAAAAGTGAAGACATTAAATAGTTCACTTGGACAGCTTATAAGCAATATTTATATAAGCAATATTTAACCCAGAGTAGTTTTGATAAAACTGCTCAGCTTTGGGATTGTGATTGTAGCTATATGAATGCTTAAAATTATAATTAAAGATTTTGAAGCAGTTTTGAGTTCACTGAGCCCTCCCTCTTTTGATTCTCTTGATTAACCAGTGATTTACACATATATAATGACTTTAACTGACTTAGGGGGTAATTTATGTCACAATGCACATGATATATGGATCTAAACAGACTAAAGAGAGGGGAAAAGGAACCATCTGTTCTCTAGAAAATTGTCTGCTGTCAGAGGGGCTCAAGAACTGTTTGAAAAATGTGTTTAGAAAGCCATTAGTAAATTTCCTAATTTTTTTGTGCTTTCTGGATGGCATTCTCATTGGGTACATATTGCCCAGGAAAAAAGGGTAGGAACTTGAATTTTTTAACTTCAGCTATGTAAGTTTTTCTAGATCTTTCAAAATATCTATTACTTTTATTAATGTATATAGTGAATTTTGTCCTGATCTTCCCAGTGCTCATGCAATATTGTTTCTGCAGCTACAGGATAGATATGGAGATCCCAACACCCCAAGGTCCAAGTTCAAACATGAAAATGAGATTGACATTTCTTGGGAGCAGCAGGGTTATATTTAGGACAAGTGTTTAAAAGCAGACTTACCAACATACCCAGCAGAGTTTGTCAATGTAATTTCCTTGTGCCCCTGTCTTATGCTGCATGAAGAAGTTGATGACCATAAGAAAAATACTTCTGCATATTCTTAAATTTACACATGCAAACTTCTTCAATAGGACGACTTACGGATACAGATCTACGTACATGCACAGGCACTTGTGGGATACCTTTTGTACCTGAGAGGGAAAAATCCTGGAGTATAGGTATGTGCAGCAATGAAAGCGCAGAGGTGGATTGTTGCGGCTCCAGGAATTATAGACAGCAACTGCAAAAGCAGCTGGAGGTTCTCTCATGCTCCTCCTTTTCTTTAATGATTGGGTTTTGGTTTCAATTTATAAATTGATTTTTAAAAATTTATTTATTTGTTTTTAATACTACAGAGCCTTTGCTATGTAAACTGAGTATACCTGCAGCAAGCTCAGTATTTAACAGCATGATGGAGAATAGACTTCCGACCTCTAGGGTACTTTCAAAAATTCAACTTCTGCTGGACCCTTCACTCGTGGTGTCTCCTGAAGCACTTCTTTGTCACGTGCAGAGGTAAAACCCGCTCCCCAAGCTGATGCCCGCCAGAGCGGAGCCGGCGCAGCCCGCAGGGGTCACTGCTGCCGCGGGGACCGGGGCCGCGGCCGCCGGCACGGGCAGCGGTGCCCGGCGGCCACGGGGACAACCAAGGGGCGCACGCCGGGGCAGGGATCATCGCCCCCCTCCACGGCAGAGGGCATCGAGGGCCCGGACCCGGACCTGGGACGCCAGTGGGGACCCCTGCGATGATGCGGCGAGGTGCCGGTGCCGGGCAGGTGCCGTCCGCTCCTCTCCGCCCCAAAGGCGCCTCCGGGAAGCTCTGCTCGGCGGCCAGCAGGAAGCGGCCGGAGTTGCCCGGCCGCTGGGTCTCTTTTCCCTCCATCCCTCCGCCCCCGACGTGGAGGAGGCGAGCGTTGCCGGCGCCGCCCCGCACGGCCGCGGGCAGCCGAGGGAGGCAGCCCGGCGCCGGCAGGGCACTGTCACCGCCCCGCTTCGCCCGCAGGCTCCGCGGCTGGAGGTAACGCGCTGGCCGGGCGGGGACCACCCCCATGCCCCGGCATCGGCGGAGGAGAGAAATCCCCCAGCCCCGCTCTTGCACACAAAGGGGAGGCGCGGAATCGTCCTCCGCGGACGGGGCGGAGGACGAGGCGGGTGGGCGGTTCAGTACCTCCCCGGGGCGGCAGCGGCGGGGAAGCCGCCGTGACAGCCGGGCGCGGGCGAGGGCTGCGCCCTGGGATCCTTCCTAAAGAAGCCGCCTTTTTCTCCCCTTTTCCCACAGAGAGAGCCCGGCAGCCCCGTCCAGGCTGTTCGGCGGGATGGCGGCGGTCCGCCCCGCAGGGCTGGGCGGTGCGCCCTAGCAGCCGCCGGGCTCCATCCGCGCAGCCGGGGCGCGGAGCCGGGCGCGGCCCAGAGCCGGCTGCGCCTCAGCCCCTCTCCGCCGCCGCCCGGGGCTCTTCTCGCCTCCCCGCCTCGTCCCTCGGCCATCGCAGCAGGCATGGGCTGTTTCTGCGCTGTCCCGGAGGAATTTTACTGCGAAGTCTTGCTCCTGGACGAGTCCAAGCTGACCCTGACCACACAGCAGCAAGGCATCAAGGTAAGGACGCCCGCGGGGCTGCGGAATACGATGCTGGAGAGCCCGCGGGGCTGCCCGGCAGCGGCTGCCTCCCGACTGCGATAGCCGGGAAGGGAGCGGCGGCAGGAAAAAGGAGAAGGAATAAGGTAGTAACTTTGCTTATGGTCGCGCAAAGGACAGATGGATCAGGGTGGCGCGCGCCGGTGGGGCAAACGTGGCTCTGGGAGGCTTCACATCGGGATAGTGACTTAAAGCGAGCAGGTGCCGACCAGCCCGTGGCACTCGGGACGGTCGGCGGAGAGGTATTGTTCTGTACCTGCCACAGCAAAAAAAGAGAAGGCAGCTGTGTCCACGGGGTGTTGCGCACCCGTGTTGAGTCACTCCCCTCTCCCTCTGCCTTGGGCCGTGTCTGCCCTGGAACGCGTTCTCCGGGGAAAAGGCCGGCGGCAGCGGTGCGGGGCGGGCCTGCAGCAGCTGCCGAGCGCAGGGGTGAAGGTCCAGCCGCGTCCCCAGCACGGTGTCCCGTCGCCCGGCCGGTGGGAACAGCTCCCGCGCCACTTCAGCAGGCTCGGCGCGGATGAACTCTTCAAAGTGGTCATCTGCCAAGCGCTAATGAGCCCTGACAGAGCATGTGAAAACTGAGATTTTCTAAAGGCCCTTAACTTGGTCCTGTTTGGTTAAGCCTGACGACAGCTGATGGCGTGTCGCAGACACTTGAAGTCCTTGTTAGAAGAGTCGGGAACATGAATTTTTTAGCAATGTAAGAACGTGCTTTCAGTGTTGGATCAGGGAAAAAAAAAAGAGAGAGAGAGAGAAAACACAATGAAAGAAAGAAATTAGTCCTTCTAAAATTTATAGTTGGCAAGGGCTGACCAGTTTTACCTAAGACATCCAAAGAATAAAAATCTGTATGCCTTTGCCTGTTTTAGCTTGAATGATTTAAGCTTGGTGAAGCAACTGGGGAAAGGAGAACCTGAAGGAGTGTAGTGGGGAGAGAGGGAGTTTCCATTTAACAATATATTTTCAGCTGTAATCAGTGGTATTACCAGGTCTGCACGTATTCAGAATTGTCAAGCTTTGCTGTATCAACTGCCTGCGGATAGGCTTATAAATCCATGCTTAGCCCAGAGGAGTAAGCAAATCATGGTGGCGCTGGAATTCAGTACCTGTGTAGGATCTTCGAAGTCTAAGTTTAGACACTTCTGAAAAACCTTAACTTTCAATGTGCAGATGTGGGTGTGTATATCATACATGCATATGTGCTTTTGTGAAGTAAGTGTGCAGTCACAGAGTATGTTAAGAGTAATCTGCAAAGATAGTCCTAAGGTTAGTCTAATGAATCTAAAGCCTGAAAGTGAAGGGTTTGTGCAGTGTCTAATAAAAAAAAATATCCCATGGGAAAGAAAGAGTCTGAAGATGTAACTTCTTTCCAAGAATGCATGACATTCAGTGTTGGGAACTGTCTAGTTTAACATGAGGGTGTGGCTCCCTGCCATTCTTTATGTGATCTGAATGTGGTATAATGCTGAATATTTAATCCCTTCCACCTTCTCCTTCTCTGTCTTGAGCCTAACCACAGAGCAGTCATGGAGTCAGTGGGAACAGTGTGTGGATCTGACAAGAAAAGTAGTAGTTAACATTTTTGCATAGGCACTCACACTGCACAGCAGAAAACCTTAGGGAAGGGAGAATCTCCCTAAGCAGCCTGCTTTCTGTGTTTTCTTTTTTTCTTTTAAGTTTGTACACGATGAAGCCACACCCCAGAGTGCTGTAGCTCCATGAGCCTTTGAAAATGCATAGTGAGGAACTGCAGAGCTCTCTCCTAGCCAGTGGTTTCCACCATGGTGCCCTCCCTTGCCTTTGTGCCTGCACAAATGTTTGCGTGCGTGAAGAGCAGCTCCTGTCCAGCCTTTTGCTGGGTGAGCCTTCAGCTGGACCTCTTTGTCCTGGTCCACTTCAAAGCTGGAGGATGGCAGAAATGGCTTTTTCAACTCAGTCCTGGCTTCTGTCATTTTAAACTGCTCAGGGGACATTCACGTTGTGACTATTCTACAGCTTTCCAAGGATCTTATATTATTAATTTTTAATGAAACAGAACATGAAATACTTCATGTTCTGTCATGCTTTGACATTTGACACTCTAACCTTGAAATACAAATGTTTTATTTTAAATCTTTTAAATGTACTCATGTAGGCTTGTTTTTTTTTGTTTTTTTTGGTTTTTTTAATTGGTGTTTCAGCATTGGCACCTAGGTATAGTTTGTAAAAGTTCATATGTGTTTTATTTTAAAACAAACATTTCCTTAGAACTACAGATTCTGGATGGATCTTCCTTTTGTTATCTTCACTTTTAATTTTGTTCAGATCTGCATGGGAAACAAGCTTTTGGTACTCTTTCTCAGATCCCAGAGTTGTTACAGGAGCAGGGTTTTTAAGTGGTTATACAAGCAACTTTGTTCCCTTATTTTTCCCTAAGCAGATACGTCTATTAGAAATAAAAACTACAGCTCAACAGCTTTTTGCTGTCTATATACTTGTTTGATATTAGTGGATATAATCTTGCTTTGAAGGGTAGAAGGCAGTGCCCTGTAGGAGTCTGAGGCAAGTTTGTTTCTTCAGGGAATTGGATATGAAGTAGATACTTGTGTCCAGAAAGTTTTGAAGATGCATTGCTTAGTTTGTATAGTGGTTATTTCTGGCTTGTTATACTTGGCAGCAACTCTACTCATCAAGACATCATTTTTAAATTACAGTTTCATTGACACATTCTTCATACTACAGTGGGCTTCAAATTGTACTTCACATTGAGCAGAGGTTACAAGATTGAGACTTCGAGTGCAATTTAGGGATGCTTTTCTCTGTGGACTTCCAAGAGATTTTTAGGGAAAGGAAAGGATTTGTTTTCTTCTGGCTCCCAAGTGGGGAAACTGAGATGGAAAGGGTTTTCAAGGCCATATGACAAGGAAACAACTTCCTTTGCTATTAGGCTGACAGCAATTGACCATTCTGCCATGGGCCATGCTGTCTGGAGGGGTTTGTGAGGATCTTTTCCTTGTAGTTCCTCAAACTGATTTTTGCTTCTCAGATTCAGTGTTTTTTTTGTTTCTTGTTTTTTACCATTATCAGTGCAGCGTTGCTGTTCTCCCTTTCTGTTGTTGTGGTTCAAGGTTAGAGCACTGCTCTATGGAAAGGTGTCTCATAATTTTTATGTTTCCTTATAGTACATTAACAGATATTCTGGAGTGTACATGCATTGAGATAATAAAGTGATGGCAGTTGTTAGTCCCAACAGTTTTGGGATGGAAGAGGCTATTCACCGGGTTCTGGTATAGTTTGTCTAGTCAAGGTATATGTCCTCACATGGGGACAGATTTTCCTTTAAAAAGGATGTTCAAGTTTCCAGTTAGGAAATGGGTTTTTGCTAAAGATATGGTAAGAATCAGCTGCTAGCTAAAAAAATAATCACCTTTCTAGGATTGCTCCTTTGTCTTCACACAGACTAAACAATACCTTAGGCGTTTTGATGGTACAGTAGTACTTGTGGTTGATCTGATGTCACAAAATATGTCTGTGGTCTTTTGACATGATACTGGACTGAGGGGTTGTGAGCATTACATATTTTGGCTCTGTTAAGAACTGAGTTAACTGTCCTTGTAAACAGTGGTGTGCCTTGTTGTAAAAACTTGTTTTTGGAGTTTAAGGAAAATCTCTGTGGGCCCTTAAAAAATAATGCTTTGAAACCTATTTGTGATCAGCTGTTTCAGAAAGAGTGCTCATTTTGCCATGTGTATGTTACAGGAATCTAAGAACCCTTTTTTTCCCCTTTTTTCCTGAAGAAGCTAAAAATATGAATATATATGAAAATATATGAAGCATCTGTATTTCATATTTACAACTCTTTGGTTGGAATAAAGATCTTAAAAAAATATTAGCTACTTCTGCAGTGAAGAAGCTCTCTAATTAGTTTTAAGCCATCTGGTCATTGCACTTCTGAAGTACTCCTTGAAATTCCTCTCTGAGCACAGTTTTTATGTTCTGTTTAGGTTGACATGTGTGATGGGCCAACAGTATTTCATTAGAAGAGAAATGATGAACAGGAAAGATACACAAGGTCTTCCTGGGAGAATATGTTCCATAATATTAATTTATTAGGTAATTTTAATAGTGATATTCTGGCTACCATAACACCTGATGATTTACTGAGAATTTATTAAAAGGATGGTTTAAAAAAACACCCAAACCTGTGACTCAAAAAAAATAAAAAAAAAATAAACCTCAAATAGTGGGTCCATCAGAATATGACACATATTGTTGAGATACTTATGGAATAATTGACAAAATGATTCAGTATGATCTATAGAAGCAGGTAAACACATAATTTCTTAGAAAGTTTCCTGTGGATTATTCTGGTATTTTTCCTTCCTTCCCTTTTTCTTTTTTTTGGGGTGGTTCTATATTGTTTGGTAGGTTTTTTGTTTGTTTTTTAAATTTGTTTTGTTTTGTTTTTAATTTGGGTTTTTGTTTGCTTTGTCTTTGTTTTTATTTTTTTGTTTTTTTCAGGTCCCAGTGAAGCTAAGCAGTTCCAGATGTCATGCCTTTAAAATATAGTGTATACAGAAATTGTGGGATACACTTTTGCATCAAGCATATTTTAGCTCTAGGTACACCAAGCAGTCAAGCTATTTTTTTCCCAGTGAAAATGCTTAATGAATGCATTTGATAGCAGGAAATAGAGTCTTTTGAATAGAAAGAATTTACACTGTATTAATTATTTTATTTGAGAGTTAGCATTATAAGTCAAATTGGTAGTCATTTGCTGTGAATATGGAAAGTATTCTTTATGAAAGTGATTTCTGCTGTTTATTCTTCTAGGAATAGGTGAAGGAAAGGAAAGGATCTTTTTGGGAGAATTTTTTTAAACTTTCTAGTTACACTACTTCAGAAATCTGAAAAATCTCTTTAAAGGTAGATTGCACTTGCTTTCCACCTGTGGTAGTTAATCACCTACAATAATTATTAAA